TATTTATATATTATGAGACGTCAATTTATGATATTTTTAATTAAAAAAATCATATATTAAATTATTTAAGGCATTAATAATTTTTTATATTAAGAGAAAAAAAGCATATAGTACAATTTATAATAAATATTTTTTTTAATTGGCACAATGATTAAATATAAGTACACAATTCAAGAAAAATTCAGAGAAAAACTTGTCATTTGCAGGAATAATAATTTACAATTTTGAAACTGTGGAGCGTTGGCCTCTATATATTAACCAATTGATTTGTAACTTCGTTGATTTTTATTTTTTATTTTTAAATTACTAGCCGCTAATTTTTAAATTCAATTGTTAAAAATGATAGTATAATGTACTTGCTTGTATTTTACGTTAGAAAAAAGAAAAAAAAAACGCACACACTTGTCAATTTGAAAAGAAGAACTTAACTGCAATTGACTTATTTCCGACTAATATATCTATGTAGGCGGTTTGTTTTATGTTTTGAAATAAAAATATCTATACTCTTAATTGGCAGTGACGCGGCCCTCGCGCTGAAAATGTTCGATTTCGTGATGAACTCGAGTAGTTAATAATTTGTAGCATATTAGGTGGTTGGGATTCTGTCGTTCCAAAAAAAAAGGTAGTTGGGATTCTGTTTAGATTAAGAGAGAAGTCGATAGTTTCTCTCGCGATTTTTAGTTAATAATAGACGTAAGAGATGAATGAAAATAAAAAGTTAACATCAACAGAAAAGAAAAAAGTCATATTTTGGGCTTTAGAAGACGTGATGCTCGGTGGTATTTTTAGATTATAAAAAAAAAAAAAATCTAATCTATTGATATTCTTAAGGGAAAAAATCTGACATTCAAAAAATAAGAAAAAAAAATATTTAGCTAAAATATAATTAGATGGATTGTTGGATTGGTTTACATTGAATGCTTATCTTATGTTTAACCTCATATATATGTTAAATTTTTAGATACTATTAGGGTAGCCTCATTTTTATCAAACCTGATATTATTAACTTGCTTGACAAGTTCTAAAGATTATATCAAGCCTGCATGTACATGTACCATACCCTGGAATATAATTAAGGCCCGTTTAGTATAGCGGTTTTGAGGTAGCGGTTAGCGGTTTTACCTACACCGCTAAATATAGGTGTTTGGTAAATTTACATATTTCGAAACCATTATAAATAAAGTGTTTGGTAAAATTTTTATTTAACGGTTTGATACTAGCGGATAGCGGTTAGAGCCCAAACCGCTAGCAGATTGAAAAAGTTAGTTTACGTAGTTTTTTGTACCAAACCGCTTATGGATTAAAATTTTTTAATTTTATTTAGAAATTTATCCATTTTAATTTTTTAATTTGTGGTCACATTTTTTAATTAATAATTATCTAATAAATTTCAATTTTGTTTTTTTACCTTTAATAACATTAAGTGATTATAATATTTTTTTGTACATTAATTTAT